TTGTGTGTGTGTGTGTGTGTGCGTGTGTTTATATGTGTGTGAGTATACATTTAATTTTCCCTGTTTTACACAACGTGTACTGTACATTATTCTGTTTGCTTAACCCAATACCACACCTTAAACTCTTACCCTTGGAGGTTATGCCATGTCAGTAAATGTAAGTATTCACATTCTGTTTTTTCAGTCCGGAAAGTAATACATTCTATGGTTGTACAATTATCTATAAAACTAGTCCTTATTGATATTGAGATTCTTTCCTCAATCTTTAGTTACTGCAATAAATAACTAAAATTAAACCACTATATACAAGAATATTTCTATGATATACTATTGAGATATGAAAACCATTGGGACAAAGGGTATATGTTTTGTGATATGGCAAGTCCTACCAAACTACTCTCTGTAGAAAAGTTACACCAATTTAGATTCCCTTTGGCAAAATATGAAATACCTGTTTTCCCACACCCTCACACATGGGTTAGGTTTAGTTGCTGATGACAGACGCCACTCAAATTCTTTAAGTATAAAGGAATGTATGACCAGATATTTTATGACTTACAATATAACTGGAAGGGCTAGAGGAGCAATTTCCAGCTCCTAGAAAGTCACAATGCCTTTGTTGTGGTTAGGAAAGGTCCCGCCCCACTTCAGGAAGCTACAACTGCTGAGAATGATCCGCAGGAGCAAAATGAATGTCACTCCCTGCCTCAGTTCCCTTTAACTTAATTTTGAATCCAAATCTTACGCAAGTATTTATGATTGTCAAAACCTAAATCACATCCATTGACCTATCTATTTATGACAACATGATATAATTTATAAAATGTTTAATATATGATAGCAATGTTTCTCATTATAGATTCCTCCCACCCCCAGAATTTTTCTAACAATTTTTGCTTATTTCGTTTTTTAATGGAAAACTAAAATTCAGATTAATTTTTAAAATCTTATGAATAATTTTTTTGGAATCACATTAAATTTATAAGCTGAGGGGGAAAATATCTATAATTGTTTAATCTTCTGTTCTAAAAATAAGGTATGGCTTATTCAAGTCTTATGTCTTTAAGTAACATTTAAAGTTTTCTTCTTGGGCCGGCCGAGTGGTGCAATGGTTAAGAGCTGGCTTGGGATGCCAGCTCTGAGCAGCAAGACCCCAGTTCAGATCCCACATGAGGGCCAGTGACACTGCCCTCTACAGCTAAGATGGTGACCAGCAGCTCAACCTGGAGCTGGGATGCCGTGAGTCACTGGCAATGGCATAGGCTGCAGCCCCTGCTGCAGTGTGCTGTAAGCTACTGTGAGTGGCCGGCAGCCAGCGTGAGTGGCTGGCAGCTGGTATGAGCTGCCAGGAGCCGCAGTGAATGGCTATCCAGAGGCCAGCGACCGATCTGCCTCACCCAGGAAGAGCACAATGATAATGCCAACATGAGCCAGTGAAGTGATGTTCTTCACAACTAGACTGAAGAACAAAAGGACAACAACTTGTCTGTTCCCCAGATTCCCCAGCACTGTTACCATCTCCCAATTCCCCAATAAAATCTTTAAAAAATAATAAATAAAAAACAATAAGTTTTCTTCTTGTAGTACAGATCATTTTTTGTTAAACGAGTTCCTAGATAGTCTATATTTATTGTTGCTATTGTAAACTATGTTTTTTCATTCATCATATCTCTTAGCTGGCCTCTGTCTATAAAACCAAGTTTGATTCTATTTATATTAATTTTATACCCAGTCATCTCACTAAATTATCTTATTACTTGTATAGATTTTTTTCTTGTGAATGCCTTGGATTTTCCAAATAAAAACTCATTATCTGCAAATGAGATAATTTTAGCTATTTCTTTCAGTGTTTTGTGACTCTAATATCTTTCTCTTGTCTAATTTTGTTTCCTAGAATACACAGAATAATATTAAATAATGGTGGTGACGGCAGATGCTTGTCACTCATGAAAGTGCTTCTATTGTTTTCCCTTTAAGTTTTGAAGGTTTATATATCTAATAATGGTAAAATGTATTCGTCATAATTTTAACATTTTTTAAAAACAGATGCTCAAATTTTTAGTGTCCATGAAGATAAGCCCCAGAGGATCTACTTAGATTCATTATTTTAATGTGCTGCTGGATCCTCACTGCAAATATTTTATTTAGGATTTTTGTATCAATACATGTGAGATAGGGTTATAATTTTCTTTTCTGTACAATATTTTTCAAGTTTTCTATCAATGTAATGCCTGCTTCATAAACATAACTTAAAAGTTTTTCTTCTTCTATGCCCTGGAACAGTTAAATAGCAATTAAATTTACTTTTTAAAAATATTTTACATTAATAAACTTTGTTATTTAGAGTAAGTAGTTTTAGGTGCACAACAAATTTGGGCAAAAGTACAAAAAATTCCCATATGTGTTTAGTCCCCACATTTGTACAACTTCCCCACTATCAACAACCTGCACCAGAGTGGTACATTTATTACAATCAATAAGCCTACAGTGGCACATCATTATCATCCAAAGTCCATAGTTTACATTAGGTGTATGTTCTATGGGTTTTGATAAATGCCTAATGGCATGTGTCTACCACTGTAGCATCATACAGATAGTTTCACTGCCCTAAAAATCTGTGCTCTGCCTATTTATACCTTCCTCACCCTAACCCTTGGCAACCAATGGTCTTTTTACTGCCTCCATAGTTATGTCTTTCCTAGAATGTCATAGAGTTGGAATCATATGGTATATAGCCTTTTCAGATTGGCTTTCTTCACTTAATAATATCCATTTAAGTTTCTTCCATGTCTTTTCATACTTTGATAGCTCATTGTGTGTGTGTGTGTGTGTGTGTGTGTGTGTGTGTGTGTGTGTGTTTTCAATAATATTCCATTGTCTGGAAGTACCAGTTTATCCACTCACCTACTGAAGGACATCTTGGTTGCTTCCCAGTTTGGGCAACAATTATTAGTAAACCTGCTATAAACATCTATGTGCAGGTTTTTGTGTGGACATAGTTTTCAACTACTTTGGGTAAATATCAAGGAGAGAGGCGACTGAGTTCTGAATATAATTTGTGTAGGTATGGCTTTCGGGAGGTATTTATCAAATCTGGTGTTTTCTGAGCCTCCTGGATCTATGGTTTGGTGTCTGACATTAACTGGGGGAAATTCTCAGTCTCTGTTGCTTTAACTATTTCCTGTATTCCTTCCTTTCCTTCCTCTTTTTTCTGGTAGTCCCAATATACACATTATGCCTTTTGTAGCTGCCCCAATCCAAACTTTCCCTTAGTTTTGAAATTTTTCCTTTATAATAAATTAAATTATTATAGATATTTTTGTTTTCTGTATGTCTATTTTATTCTACTTACCTGCTGTATATTCCACAAATATAGAAAACTTTCTAATTTATTTTGATATTATATATTTATATGTTGCTGTGCATGTTTCACCCCCACTTATTCTTAATTTTGAAGCTTTGGCTGACTTTACAAGCTTAATCTTCCTAAAAAATTTTGGAATTATTTTTTAACAATTCTTCACTTGTAATTTTATTGATACATTATTTCAGGATTTATGGATATTTTGAAATCAAATCAACTATTGTATAAAATAAGGGATGCTTTTAGTTACAAGCAACTAAAAACCCTACTCACACTGGTTTAATACATTAATGTGGACTAACTGCCCTTGAAAATCCAACAGTGAGATTGGCTTCCGATACAGTTCAAATAGGGTACCAGTTCAGTTTCCCCATGATTATCTGGGCTCTGTCCTCTCCCTGTTTTCCCTCATTCACAATTCCACTGCCAACAGAAACCTCAGCTATGTACTTTCTCAGTATATCCACAGAGAAGAAAAAGGACTACTTTTCATAAGTATCTAACGAAAGTTCTGAGCTTTGTCCTGATCGGGACCACCATGATCTAGTCACTGTGGTCTGGGGAAATGTAGTTACTAACTGGTGTACACTCCCACCAGGGACAACCTGGTGATGGAGTCATTCTAAGCCAAATCAGTGAGCTGCTACAAAACAAGGAGGATTAAAATAAATGTTGGGATTAACCATGGTGTCCACTTCCTTTAGCCTAATGAAAGCTTACAATTTGAAAATGTCCACCAGATATTTCAACCTTCTTATGTCATAGCGGTAGTACACATGTGTTTAAAATATGCACGCTCACTTGCGTTGGTGAGTACATATGTACATGTATACAATCTATATAAATTCTTACAAAGCCTAATAACTGGAACCAAAATGGAAAATAGCCATATCAAAAAAATGGCAGACACTGGCAGACTATTGGATCGTCAGGAAAGTCACGACGTATTTTTTTCTGTTTTTCAATGCAAAACTGCATCATGACTTTCCCGATGACCCAACAGAAGTCTAATTAATATAACCGTTCAACGTACAATTCACTGTGTTAGTCAGAACAGTACATTTGCAATCCTTAATGCCCACCACCAGATTGCTGATGCCTACCACCTCTGTATTTATTCAAAGCATCCCATTTACTCTTTCTCCTCAATGAAAACACTCCTGAAGCTTCATTCATTTTTTTTGTTGCTTCATCATTCACTGCCAGCATATTTATAAAATAGCCTCTTAGTTGACATTTGCATATAGTTTGGAAGGAAAAAAGGAAGACAGAGAGTCTCTTAGGAGACCAAAATGTGTCTGTTACGGAGCAAGACGTGACAATCGCCACAGAAATGTAAGAAAGCAACTTAGGTCAGGAAAGCCTCAGACTTCACCTACGATTTCTTACCTGTGTAGTAGAGCTCAGCGAGACGGCTATTTTCATGATGTTTCTGCCTTGTAAAAATCTTTAAAACCATTATTTCAGGGAAATTATCTTGATATTCAACAAATAGTCAATCTGAATATTTATTGATGGACTGTATTCTAATCACATAGTAACTATGAAAACAGTAAATCAGAATATAGGAACCTCCCACAAAAATATAAATCTAGTGGCAAAAATCTACATAATTCAAGTAGTTTTATCTTATTACCTGTTTATGTCTTCTAACTGCAGATCAAAATCTTGAAGTTTCTTTTGGTATTTCTCTGTTAAGTTACAGAACTCATTAAAAATTGAAGATTTCAAATCAGAGTACGGGCATTCCAAAGTTTCTAATTCCATGGGCAGTTTAGTAAGCAGGTTATTCCTTTCGTCTGAAGAATGATCCAGTATCTGAAAACAAATTACGTGATTGTTTTATTTAACATGAATGACAAATGTATAAACAAATGACTATCTGTATGACACTTACTTTCATACTCCAGTCTGAAACAGTATCTTCTAATTTCTGTTGCTCCAGGCTAAGTCTTTCAAAGACAGCTTTCAATTGTTTTTTCACGAAGTCAACCTATAGGACATTTAAAACAAGCAGTATGCAAATCATTGTGGTTCATCCAATATTTATATTTAAAGTTACAGGAATTATTCTCAAAAGCAAATAACTGATAAAAAATTAGATAAAAGAAAGTCCCCTGAGGACCTGTGGAAGAGGTTCAAGAGATGCTGTAGCCAGGCAGTGCTTATCAGAAGGGGCTTCTAGACATATAATCCAAAAATGGGCCTAGGAAGTACAGTGGGGTGTTAGCTTCTTTGCACCCACATTTTGTTTTTGTTTGTGATAAGGCAGAGAGCTTACCAGATTTTTTCAGTCATCGCTTCCTTCCCTTGAATCTTGCCTCAAATCCCCAGCTGGGCAAGGGATTTTTAATGTTTTTTAAAATTACTATTTATGAAAGCAACATAACAGCTCTACAGAATAACTGAGAAATGGAGTAAGTAAAATTACCTAGGGCAGGCCAAGTGGCTCAGATGGTTAAGAGCACGAGCTCTGAGCAACAGGGTCACCTGTTCGTTTCCCACATGGGCCAGTGAGCTGCGCCCGAGCTGAGCTGCCACTGAGTCACCAACAGATGGCAGGATGGTTCAGCTGATGAGAGCACGTGCTCCTAACAACAAGGTTGCCAGTTCGACTCCCACATGGGATGGTGGGCTACGACTACCCACAACTGAGATTGAACACGGCACCTTGAGCTGAGTGGCACGACCTGCCTATGGGTGGCCAGTTGATGACTGGACTTGGAGCTGAGCTAGCTGCACCCTCCACAACTAAAATTGAAGGACAACAACTTGGTTGTTCCCCTTCCCCAATTCCCCAATAAAATCTTAAAAAAAAAAAGAAAAGAAAAAAGTAAAGGTAATATACTAACCTCTTCCAGTACTTTTGCTGAGTTAAACCCAGTATGTGAATGTGAATGCTGTATAATGTGATGCTGTCTGTATTTTAGATCTGCTCTCAATTGCTGAATTGGATTTATCACATTTTTAAGATAGGTGCACCATTGTTCTGATAACTCTTGTTCTATGGGAAAACAAAATTAAATCAAGGTAACACATTATTTTAAGTTTCTTCAAGAACAGGTTTTTATAGTGTAAATTTATTGTTTGATTCCTTTAGAAAAAAAATAACAGTTAATATTAAAAGAACATGGAGGGGCCCACTTTCATCTTTAAAACAAAAATCCCCTTTAAATACAGGATCAAAAAAATCTCACCAAAATTTGTAAGGTCCGAAAGACATTCATTTCCAATGTTCTCTTCATTGAGAAAAGATTTTATCTCAGATTCCATTTTACATCTGAAACAGACATTATCTCAATCACTTAATAATTTTTATAATCATAAACATATACAGGTTGAAAAAAATAACTAGTTATAGAAATTTTATCTCATGTTGGTTTTATTCACCTGCTTATTCATTCAGACCATATACTAAATCCCTAACATGGATTGGGTATTTGCCAAACACGATTAACAAACATTTGGTCCTGTCGAAAATGTCCACTGAGACATTTGGCTCACACCAAAATGTCCTTGAAATTTGGTCCTGTCCAAAATGTCTATGAGCATATTTGGTCCATGCCAAATGGTCCTTGATATTTGGTCCTGTCAAAAATATCCATGCTTAGAAAATGTCCCTGGGTTCAGATCGCCCATAACATTTATTTCTACATTTGGTTACAGGATTATTACATAAAAATATGTTTTATTGCTCTGCTAATTGTGTTGTGGCTATATTGCCAATAATAACCCTTTTTGCCTTGGTAGCCTACTTGGTAATGGCAAATGGGGTTGGGTTAGAGGGGTCTAGGTTAGAATCTTGCAGAAGAGCAGGGTTTATATTAACTATGCACATTTTGAAGAGGACCAAATATCAAGGATTTTTTGGCATGGACCAAATGGCTCTATGGATGTTTCGGACAAGAACGGAAGTCCTGCAAGGGCCAGACACTGAGACAGAAAGAAACATAAGTGAAGAATCCAAGAAGGAACAGCAGGAGCATAGGCAAGCACAGAACATATCCTAGCACTGCTTCATATGATCAGGCTGAGGGATACTAAGCTGACCTGGCCTGCTCAGCAGAGCAGGAAGTGTTTCAGGAAGATTCCCAAGGCAGCAAGATGGAGGATGGGCTGGTAAAAAGGGTAATCAATAAAAGTGGAAAATGAACGAGGGGATCAGGTAAATCTGGACCAACAAGGAGATTATTTTAAAAGATAAGAGAAGATGAGGTCCTAGGGGAATGGGAGTACAAGTATATTTGATTTATATATACTATGTAACTAATAAATCTTAATGACGTTTTACTATATTTAAATAGTCATTTTTAGAGTAAAACCATAACCAGGTCTAAATTGACATCCCAAAATATGGTAGTCTATCCCTTGCTTGTGGCAGATTTAAGAACATCATAGAAGAGTTTTGATTTATTATGATTATTAAAATACAATATTAAGTTGGCATAAAATTAAAAATAGTGACAATTATAATACTTTAATACAATGATTATTTTCATTTTTCTGTAAATTTCTAGCCCTTTTCTACATGCATGTATATTTTAAGTAGTAATTATGGCATATATACCATTTTATATTTGGTTTTTTAAAGAATATTTTTATATATTTCCAAATAATTTTCATAATTATCATTATTTTATATATGTGCCATCTTCTTCTAAGCCAATTCACTTACATGGGACAGGGATTTTGTTTGTATGTATAAAAGAGAGGTGATATTATAGATGACACTTCACTGCGTATTTTCCCAGTATGTACTTCTTGACAAAAGTACTTTTAAGATTACATTTGAAACTGTTAAATGGAAGATGGGTGCATAGTAGTGGAGCTATTTCATAATGAAGTTATTTCATAATGGATTTGCTTAAACAAAAACATAGCGCTTATAAAACCATCTAGCTCAGTTCTCTTTTATTTTCAGCACCAGAGAGCATATTAGAACATAAAAACCAGTAGAAGTGGCTTTGTGCATATTGGAGATCAACCTGCTACTTTGCATGTAATAATCTAATAAGCTCCATCCTGACTGTAAATCAACAACCTTGACCCATTAGAGAAGAAAGCCCATTTCTCTAATTATCCTGAGTATCTCACAAATCCAGAAACGTTTTTTAGGCCCTCAAGAACTTCACGAACCTGGGACTCACTTGTGAATGCAGGCTAACATTTCCCAAGTTGTGTTCTATAAAACAGTAATGTCAATGAGATGCTAGGTGGGAAGTGGGAAGTGGCGAACTAAACAAAATCTGACAAGTTTCTATGGGGCAGGATTACACAGAAACTTGATTATGCTAATGGACATTGAGGCTCTCCAAAAAGGGCAAAAAATATAAAGTATTTTCTTAAGGTATAAGACCATGAAACTGATTGTTCTCCATCGAGTATCTTGAACAACATTTTTGTTTTGTAGAATATAATTTAGGAGATATAGTTAAAAATTGTGAAGGACCTAAGAACATTAAAAGTGGTAACTCTGGAGCGAGACCCCTGCCCTGTTCCACAATGACATGCTAGACCACGTTAGAACTCTGCACTGCATGTAACCTCCTCCACATCTGAAGAGGGGACAAATATTGGCAACTTCCCCTGTCGAAATATGCCAATTTAAGTGCCTCCTAGTGTTATTTGGCCTTTCCTCTGGTACCACTGTATATTATGGTGGTGCAAAAAACTTTGAGTTTTTGTGTGACCATTTGCCTAGATGATATATTAACTTATTTCCTAGATATGACCAGTTACAACGCAACCACCTGAAGGTAAGCCAGCCTAGTGAAGGACGTTTTTGAGCTCTCCGGAATCTGCTCAGTACAGGTCCTGGTCCTGCAGGATGGTGCCAAAAGTCCAGGTGTAGAATCAGTCTCCTCAGAACATCAGAAATTACTCAGAGCTTCCTGAGATTTCTAGGGCAACCACTTAGTTACCCATTTTGACAGAACAAGTGAAACATGGAGTGCAAGAGAATAGTAGAATCAGAAGCCAAATATTTAAGCAAACAATAAGCAAAGAAACATAGATCATGAAAAACAGAGCAAGAGAGTACATTCAAGTTCCATAAGTGGAACTAACAGCCTGGAGATCTGCAGAAAATTAGGGACCAGAGCAGGCTTAAGGCCAAAGCACTAGTCCCAGCATCAATGAAGGAACTCAGCGACACTGACACCTTAGGCTCAGCTATTTGATCCACCTTTCACTCTTGAAGTCTGTCCCAAGTGAGCGTACACAGAGGCTGGAGAAGGAAGTCTCACAATTACTGGCTAAGGAACAAGCTCAGAGAGAGCGCTCTGATGCCCTGAGTAACACAGTAAAAACACTGGTCTCAATTTAATTTTTTTTAATTTAATTTTTTTTAATTGGGGAATTGGGGGGATGGGAACAGCGCTGGGGAATTGGGGGAAGGGGAACAGAGAAGTTGCTGTCTTTTTGTTCTTCAGTCTAGTTGTGGAGGATGTTGCTTCACTGGCCCAAGTTGGCACCATCATTGCGCTCTTCCCAGGTGAGGCACATCAGTCGCCGGCTTCTGGACGGCCGCTCACGCTGGCTGCTGGCTACACACGGTAGCCCATGGCAACCCACTGCCACAGGGGCTATAGCCTACGCCGTAGCCAGCGACTCACGGCAGCCCAGCTCCAGGTTGAGCTGTTGTTCAGCATCTTAGCTGTGGAGGGCAGTGTCACTAGCCCTCATGTGGGATCCGAACCGGGGCCGTCTGGCATCCCAAGCCAGTTCTTAACCATCGCGCCACTCGTCCGGCCCTCAATTTCATTTTTAAAGACACATTTCCAGACAACGTTTAACTGTTGTTGGTAAGACTCCATGATATCCTTTGTATAAAGTTGATACTTTTAAAATAGTGCTTTAAATTGTAATAGATATATATATGCTATCGGGGGGGGGGAGTGGAGAGGTGGATTGGGGGAGGGGGGTTTTCACTTTGAGGGATAAAAAGTATAACTATTGAACTGTGTTGTACACCTGAAACTAATTTAAAAATAAAATAAAATAAAATGAAAAACATAGTGCTATAAAACTAAAATTGAGAGCTACAGGCAGGCTACATGTATTTCTAACAGAGATTTGGTTAAAAACATCCCTTGTAGGAGTTGTAGTAAAAGTAGTAAGCTGGACAAATAAACCTCTCGAACTTTATTATTCAAAAACTGTTAATAAAATAAAAATTGTAATTCTTTATCATATGGCCAATATAAATGAGTTCCTCTTAAACTCTAAACCAGTCATTCTGAAACAAGGGAGCAAGGAATCCTGGGGAAGTATATCAAGGCCTTCAAGGGATGTAGTTTGAGAAAACATTAATTATTAACTATAATTTTATAAATTTAAATATAACTTTATATTTGTAAATTTTATGTGAGCAGTTTACTCAGTACAGATTCCAAAGAACAAAAGCTTGGCAAAATCTTTTTTTTTTTTTCTAGAAGACTCAACCCATTCGAGTTCAGGTGGTGCGAATGGAACTCTGGGGGAAAAAGAGAAAGCTGCTCAACTCCAAGTTCATGGAGCACAGGAGTTAAAAGCAAGTGCTCCAATACAACCTTCAAGTAAACTAGCTAATTTGCCTTCTACAAATAAATGTAATCGTCTGAACCTCAAGATTCTCATCTGTAAAATGGGGATAGCATTGATACCTACTCTGCAGCAACACAGTAAGGAGTAAATGACATAAGGCATGTAGAGTACTTAACATATTACCCGTCACATGTTAAATTACCCAACAAAACTTAGAGATCTTTATAGGCACTTACCATAAGAATACTTTACTTTCAATTTTTTTATTAAAAGGGGATGTAGATTTTTAAAAGTTGAGAAAAACTTTTAAAACTTTTAGATAGAGCTTAAACTCCTGATTTTCTGGCGGTCCCTAAATTCTCCACAAATCTAGCCACACTCTAACTGTCCTCCTTTTACCATTAATTTAAAAAAAAAATTACTGGGGCCGGCCGAGTGGCACGTTGGTTAAGAGCTGGCTTGGGACGCCACAGGGCCCCGGTTCGGATCCCACATATGAGGACCAGTGACACTGCCCTCTACAGCTAAGATGTTGAACAACAGCTCAACCTGGAGCTGGGCTGCCGTGAGTCGCCGGGGAAGGCATAGGCTGCAGCCCCTGTGGCAGTGGGTTGCCATGGGCTACCGTGTGTAGCTGGCAGCCAGCGTGAGCGGCCAGCAGCCGCAGTGAGCGGATGTCCAGAAGCTGGTGACTGATCTGCCTTGCCCAGGAAGAGCGCAATGATGGTGCCAACTTGGGCCAGTGAAGCAACGTCCTCCACAACTAGACTGAAGAACAAAAAGACAGCAACTTGTCTGTTCCTCTTCCTCCAATTCCCCAGCGCTGTTCCCATTCCCCCAATTCCCCAATAAAAATCCTAAAAAAAAAAAAAATTTACTAAACACATATTGAAATTAACCTACTTTCTAGGATAACATAGATAATTTTCTTGGAATTATTCTTTTTGTACAATTTTTAACTATATAAGTTTCAAGATGTTAACGTTTTATTACTTTATGTTATGTTCCTCACTTCCATCATCTTTATATCATTCCAGGTCAACAAAAAAATTATTTTCCACAATGATATGTACATACTTCTTCTATCTAGCTCAAGAACAACTTAATACATACATTAATAAGGGTATGGAACAGCCAAGATAAAAAATTTTCACCCATTACATTTGAGCTTGCATCAGTGAGCACCATAATTAAAACCTCCTAACGGCCTTCTTTTTCATCATGTTCCAAGTTATGCAAATTTTCAAGAAAAAATTTTTCTAATGGGCCCAAATTTCCTCTCCACAAAAGGTAACTTTTGAGGGATAAGATGGATCTGATTTGTTTTTATAGCAGCACTATGATGACAAAGTCTATATAATTTTGTTTTTCTATGTTTTAAGTTATACAATGATGTAGAAACATTTCCAATCATAAGACTTTTACTTCACATGTAGGAATCTCTTGACAGAATAAAAAACTCTTATTACAATGAAAAACACCTACATCAAAAGTAAATGGTATTTGGAAATTTAACTTAAGATCACAAAAGTTATCTAGTTTGATGTAAAATATATACACTTAAAATATGCATTTTAAAAAGTATATTTTATAAATACAACCATCATTAAAACTGGTATATATGCCTCAAATGGAGGGAAAACACATGCCTTCTCTTTTTGCCTTGACCTTTGAAAATAAATTTATTTTTCAAAGATTACCACTAAAATCAAGTATAAAATCATCATTTAGTTTTAATTCATCTTGAAGTGATTGTTGGAAATAATACAAAAGCCAAAAACCCAAATTGAATAAGTTAGTCATGCATGATACAGCTACATCTAGAGGTCACTGAACAACCCGAACCCTTTAGTTAATTCACTCATTCATTTGTTGAAAGCATTTACATATATCTTCTGCCGTGTATCTTGCAATGAAAAAGATGAATATGATGAGATGCTTGCCCTAGTTTACCACTCTATAGGAAAGGCAAATATGTAAACAATACAATATAATCCAAAGTGCTAGATAGATAAGTAATTACAAGTATGAGTGGGAATGAAGAAGAGTAAGTAATTAACAGATAGAGATTATCTTTTTTTTCCTAAGGAAAGCAAAAGCATGTTAGTATATTCACTGAATTCCAAATTAAACTGGGGAAATGAAAGAATTTTGATCTGACTCACATTGAAACTATAACTTTAAATTTTGAATATAATGGTTTAATTGACATGGAACATTATTAAACATCAGTGCACGTCTTAATCATTCCTAGGTGTTCCGATTGCGATATCCCTCAGTTCTTACCTGACTTCATTTAGCCTTTGATGTTCCTGCCACCACACTTGCTTGTGCTGTTTTATTAGCATTTGTTCCTTAGATATCTTTGAAGTCTGTACTGCTTTTCTGATCTAGATTTAGAAGAAAAGAGGAGCCAATGCAATGTTTTTAAAGTGTGTTTTCCACAATGCAAATGTTTAATCTGTATTTGCTAAATTAAATGCTTACTCTTTTTCAATCCTATTAGTTCATCTTCTAATGCAAAATCCTCCTTAAAACGAGCACTTAGTTAAACAAAAAGCTGGGAGGTGGTGAAAGAGAAAATGATTTGGAATACTGATCAATTTAAGAACTGTTTTTAAAGTATTTATGGGGGGGGGAGGTGAAGTAATTCAAATAACACATTAACTCATACAGTTCCATAAAAATTTTCAAGAACTTTCGATAGTTTTTAACCTTTTGACATATCTTTGCTGCCAGCCATCATGAGCATCATTATTCTCATTTTACAGATGAAGGCAATGAAGTTCAGAGATGTTAAGAGACTTGGTCAAGATCGTAAAGCTCATGAACATCAGAATCACATAGAACTTTGGTGTATGAATTGGCTTTCATCTACTCCTTCAGCATAGGGTGGGAAAAAGTTATTGGATAAGTTGTTAGGAAGCCTAGCTATAGTTCCAACTTCAGTACCTACTAGAAATATGATCTTGAATATGCAATTTTAATCTTTCAACTAAATGACTTCATAAATAAATTTTTGTTTAAAATATTAGGCAAATATTTATTAGAAAAATACTTAAAGAAATAGTGAAAAATCATGTAGCATTGAAATGAAAATTTTAGCTAAATTAAAATTTTCCCCAAATGTTATGACTTTAAAAAAAATGTAGCAAATAATTAGTATTTGGGGGTTTCTATTGACAAGTTAAGTTGTATCAAGCCTGGATCTGTTTGCCTTAAGATCCATTCTTGTCTAATCTCCCCGATCTACTCCATATCAAAGACCAGTCTGTGTTTCTTGCACACACCCATATCAGCTGGCTTCCAGCTGGGTTTAGCCAAAGGGAGACACTGGCAGTGGGAGATTGAAGGGAGGGAGGAAAGGAAAACCCAAAGCATTTTCTGCGTTTGCTCCATCTTTTCTTGACAGTTCTAACTACAGTTCCAACTACCTCTGGGTAACCTCAGCTCATGGAATGTGGCACAGCCTTGTTTTTACTAAATGTCTCTGTGACTTAGGCATGGGACTGCTGTTGTTAATCCCTGTATTGCTTCACAGTCCTGTTTGGCTTCACCTGTGTAACCATTTCCTGAATTAAAGACCTCCTCAAGAGGTATCTGTTTCCAGGTTAGATTCTGATTGATACTCATGTGTGCCTGGAACTCATGTATTCCATATTAGTACTTTTGAACATCTACAAAACTGCTACTCTCAAATCAGAAACTTGAAGAAAGATACATATTTTACATTTTTTCTGCTACTAGAATACTTAGCCAGAATGTTTTAACAGATCTATACTGAAGATACAAAATCTTCGGAAGACAAGTCCTAAAAAGAGTCTTAATAATGCATGCTATTTCTAGCTGTCATTCCCTGATTACTTTAACCTTGAGTTTATCTTTCTGCTGTTCTGGTTACTGATTCAAAATTAGGGCTATGAGAAAAAAATAATAATAACTCAAACAGTACTTAAAAAGACAAAAAGTCAAAGTCAAATCTTTTCTTCAGGAGGTCTTAAAGTGCTACAATTATGAAATTTAGAAGAAAAGTACATTTAAATATGAACTAGACACTGCAAGAATACATTCAGAATCTCTGTTTTATCTACCAAAAAAATAAAAGTACATAGTATTTTTAAAATCTGACACTCTAGTGTTTGCTTGAAGACTACCTAAAACTAATTCCAACTATTTGTCATCTACAGTCTCCAAAGTCTGGTGCAGCAGACACAACTTTTAGAATTAGATTTCTTTGACATATTTGGTCCATGTTGTACAAAAAAATTAAAACACATTGGTGAAAGATGTAGACACATTTTTATAGCTTAAAAAAAATCAATGCTGCTGCCTATGGGCTTAGGGAAAGACCAATCAAATAGACTATAAAAGTAAAAATAAAGCTACTATTTTTCACTAGACACTTCCAATATTTTGCAGAATATCCTAATTTTTTTTTTTTTTTTTTGTAAATTCACTCATTGACTCCACTTCTATCCTCAGGCCAAAAATGAAGAAAAATAAAGTCTTAAAAGAACAAAGAGACTTAAAATAGTATCTTTATCAATATATAGATTTCTAGGTAGTTCCAGTTCATTTTGCTGGGCAATGAGCCATATAAAATTAATATTTAAGGTGATGATGATTTATGCAGAATGATGATATATTTAAAATAACAAAATTAATAAATTTATAAGAGAATCAGAAACTATGTGATTTATCGTGATGCTCCAAGATAAAACTCTAAATAGGCACCCTGAAATGCCATAAAAGCCCTTTGGGCCAGGTGATCCATCTTTAGATATAAACAACAGTAACTAGTAAACAAGTTAAGGTTGGTTACGTGTGTATATCTATTTGTCAAAATCCATTGAGATATACATGTAAGATTTGTGCACTTTCCTATATGTGAGCTGTACCTCAAAAAAGAAATAAACAAACAAATAAAAAGAAAAAATACAATTACGCAATTTATCATCTATCAGGCAAAAACACAAATGTTTTAACCAAAACACTCTGTAAGGCTATGGGAAAACATGCTCTTTCTTTAGTTACTAGTGGGAATACAAAATGATGCACCCATCCCACCTTCCCAACAAAGAGCGAATTTGAAGATATATAGCAAATTTTCCTATGGGTTTACCCTTACTTATAGAAATCTAACTGAACTCTATATTGGCAAAAATATTAGAAGATAAATGAACAAAGTGAATCACTGCAGCACTATTTGTAATAGAAAAAGACAAGCACAAAAATTCCATCAATAAGTGTTCTTGCCAAAATAAATTGAACCTGAATTTGATCAAGTCTCTAGATATAACTACCAATTTACTGGAAATGAAAGAGACAGAAAAACATGTTAAATGACACCACCAAGATGTAATCAGCAAACTCCAGACTGGGAAAAACTATAAGAGACAAATGATACAAATTCTTCAAGAAGTAAATTACAAGAATATACAAGATAAAGGAAGAAATCTAAAAATTAAAGTCAACTGCAATATATGGATCTTATTTCGATATTGATTTGAATATCCTTTAAGAAAGAAATGGAGAAAATCAGGGAAATGTAACACTGTCCAGATATTTGAAATTAAGAAATTTTTAACGTTTCTAGTGGTAGTGGTATTGTAAAGATTGGGTTTCCTCCTAATCTTTTAGAGATATATGCTAAAATATTTATGTTGAAATATTATGATGTCTGAGATTTGCTTCAGAACGATCTGGCACGGGGGGGAAGTTGTGGGTGGGGGGAGAGAGCAAACAATGACCAAGAGGAGTTGACCATAGTTGAAGTTGGATAATGTTACGTGGAGATTAACGATACCATTCACTCTAATTTTGCATATGCTTACAATTTTCCATAATACAACCTTTTAAAAAAATTAGTAGATGGATACTTGAGTTAGACAAGAAGAAATATTCATTCTTGTTAAGCAAAGAAATTCAAATAAAAATAATTGTAAAGATCTCTTTTATGCTTGAGTTGGGAATGAACAGTTAACATAATGTACCAAGAATGGTCTCAGTTTTCAGGCCGAAATCTACTGTTTGGCTTCAAGTTCAATCTTAGCCTTCGAAAGACTAGATCATCCAATGTCCACTTCATTGCCTTATCTGGCATCCCAGGACTTGTGCATGATCAATGAATGACACAGTGATTATGTAGGTGACTATCACATCTCATCAGTATAACAATACTAGGAATACAAATCTGGCAAGTCTTCTTAATTTATTGTTAATTAACAATAATTTTTGTTATTTTTCTAATAAAGTATTTTAGATGTATAATAATTTGAAGCAAAAATCCCTTATGTGCTTTAAATGTTAAGATTCTATCATTCAGTTTTAAGTATGTTTACATTTAATACTGCTAGAGTAAAGTGCTATAATTAATTTTGATTCTTAAAGCTGTTAATTATATGTGCAAAAAATGAGCACATTTAATCAGTAAAATAAATAGGGAAATAGACTGATAATTAATACAAATATTAAGAGAGAATGTATTAACTATGTAAAATTAGGAAGAATAAAAATATTCTTCTTGAGCCAACACATATTTTATTAAAATTTAAATAATATAAGAAAAATAGAGATATTCATAATTCTAGTTGGTATAGATTATTTGGTATACTAGCATTCATAACATTAAACAAAATAAACTTTAAGAATTGCAATTCATTTCTAGATATCTAATTCCATTTAAGCCATGAGTCTTTCAAGAAAAAGTCATAGTTGGGAATTGTTCACATTTTGCATGAATAAATTAGAAGCAAAATGTCAACTTGCTATCTCTAAATTAACTGAGAAGGGAAGACTCCAGAAATGATGTAGAACTACACTCCCAACAGTTTCCTTAATAAAGATATAATAAAAAATGAACACTGTATAAAGAAAAAAAGTATTAGAAAATGATGAGGTATCCAGGACATATTTGTTCTAACCAAAATTCAAAACAACAGATATTACAAAAATGCTTTAAAAGGGTAATTCTCTCTCTCTTTTTTTTTTTTTTTTTTTTTTTTTAGCTGAGCCATCCTGCCACCTGTTGGCAGCTCAGCTCTGGCCAGGACTCAAACCGCTGTTGCTCAGAGCTTGCACTCTTGAGCGAGCTCTTAACCAACTGAGCCACTCGGCCTGGCCTCTAAAAGGGGAATTCTTTATCATTATGAATGTATGGAGATTAAAAATGGAAGTAAAAAGCTGGTCAAAATGATTGCTACAGACTGTGAACCATATCAAGTAGTTGAAGACAGGGATTTTTTGAAATTTGCCAAACTATGAGATCCAGGTACAAAGTTATTTCTACAAAATATGTAACTAAAAAGCTTCTGCCTGAATTATACTGTATGAACAAAAAGGTTATTGATGTTATTTAAAATATCAGTTGAAAATGATCACCTGTTTAACCTCACCAACGTATAACAAGGACTTTGACCAGAAAAGCTAACAGCTGACTATGCTGAGAAATTATTGTCCCTGCACTTAATGTTAAGCCTTAAAAACCACAATAATTATTAAAACTTTTATTTTTATTCTTTGATAGTGATTCTATCATCAAAAAGAAATTCACTTTGACCAAATACTGATTTGAACACTCAACCATTCCACATTCAATCAAATGGTTTTGGTATTTTCTGGCACATGATGGATGGATGGATGGATGGATGAACAGATGAACAGATGAACAAAGTTAATATATGGGTAATATTAGGAATACATATGTATATATGAATACACAGGTACATATTCCAATACTGACAAAGGTATAGAGAAAACGTTTGTGGTGGCATCCTTATTAGAACAACGCTTTGGAAAAAAGCTAAAAAGCACTCATACAATTTTGCCCAAATAGCCCAATCATAAAAATTTATCCAATGGGGGTAGAGGATTCTTAAACATGAAAGGTGTCTATGCGTGAAGATATTTACTGAAGTATAACTTCCAATATTGTAAAATGGGATATAACCCCAATATGCAAAAATCAGGATATGATAAGGCATGCATTGTTTTCTATGTGGAATATGCATCACTCCTGTTTTTGCTGAGTTCATTTTTGTTGGTCTTGAGGTCCCAATTCCAATGTCATTTCCTGAGAAAGGCCTTCCTACCCGACTGAGGTCAAGTCCTGTTATTATACACCAGGCTGCATGTTTCTATTGGAGTTTATATGTAATGTAATATTATTTCAGGGCTTATTTGAGAAACACTGACTTTCCTCCACCCCTATACCTGCAAAAAGTACATTCCATATCATGTAATAATTAAATATTATAAAGATATGTGGCAAAATGTTAGGGGAAAAAGTGTATAGGATTTCAAGTCTATGTTTATCAGGGAAGAAAATAAAATGTGTATGTATATGTTTACATATGTACATATGGGTATATATGGTAAATATATTGGGTTGTCAGAAAAGTCATGACGAATTTTTTGTTTTACATTGCAAAAATCCGTCATGACTTTTCCGACAACCCAATACAATGGGTCAGAATAGAAGTCAGAAATATGAAAACGATTTTATCAGGATGATAGTTATATGAGTGATTTTCCCATAAAATTTCTTTGAATGTCCCAATAATATTAAACTATCTTAAAGTTATATCTGAACCAAACAAATAATGCCCTATTTTTTAAGTGATCTTCGTTTGAAGGAATATAACTCATGGATGTATGGTATAATTTCTCTAAAATAGGGTATCAAATGTGCTTTGTGTTCATAACCGTTGCCTTTAAAAAATATTAACAATAAAAAGACCTGCAAAACTGTAACACAAAAATATTAAATACAAATGAAAACTTGGAAATAATATGTTACTTTGGCAAACCAGGTTTCTAATGCAACCAAACAATGAAAATACTGTTTACAATATACTCTGTTATTTACAAAACGGAAACACATTTCATGAGTCATCGTAAACTGTACAGGGCCCTAAAATACTGTGCACAATCACTTGCATATAAACCCCTTTCAAATCTAGTCCAGATTCACCTTTTGTTAGGTCAGGGCAAAAAAAAGAATTCTAGAAAAGAGAGGCACCTGAGGGCATATTTGAACGGTGTTGCAGAAGGAGTCCTACATCAGATGATCACCCATGGCTGGCACTTCACTAGCAATTTTTATTTTTCAGATTAATTTAGAAATTGTCGAAAACTAATGAAATAGCAATCTTTCTAAAAATAAGGTTAAATTCAGACATCATGGGTTGTTATGAACGTTAAGTGAGTAATGAATATAAACTATATAGCACAGTGTCTGAGAGCATTCAATAAATATAAGATGCTATTTGCTATTATTAATAGTTGGAAAATTCTAAAAACTATTTATAATGTTATTTATTTTCACATTTCCATTTAAATGTCATCTTACTTCCTAGCAATTCAATTTTTCAAAACTAGAAAACACACACACACACACACACACACCTTCTAACCTTTAGTTCTATAGAGGCAGAAGCTAATTTTCTTGCTTCAGTTAATGCATGTAATTGTTGATAGTCTACTGGTTTATACTTGATGCTTCTCATTCCATTTCTCATATGGCATACCAGATTATCTGTTTTTCATCAAAAATAGAAAATGACAAAGAAATAGTATGTTATTGGAAACCAAAATATAGTTATGGCAACATGCTGATGGCAGGTCTTATTTTTAAATAGTTTAAAGTAAATACAAGAAATAATGTATCACAACATTCATAGTATATTTGAACCTCTATTTATAGAAACTTAAACAATATTACCACTATATTTCTTGTATAAAATTACTTCTCAAAAGGCATAAAAGGAATATCTCCATTTAAGTTAGCATGTTGAGAATTTTAGAAAGTTGTGTCAAGATACAAAGTGTGACCACTTTTATTTATTTAAAACGTGTTAGGCATCAACTGTGGGTGTTTATCACATTATTATGAATTGAATTAAATAAATAGATTTTTTAAAGTCATAGCTATATTTCTAACTTAGAAAAATCGAAAATAATTTCAATTAAATGTGAAAAAAGGTTGAAACTCAAAGCTAAAAAATTTAATATTAAAACGATAAAATGTTTGGGCAGGTATTCTCTATCCAAATACTTAGTTTAGTACATTAACTATTTTGGTAAATTAAAACATAAGTAGAGGGTACTCCAAAGCCAAGTAGCATAAAGTATAATAAACTGAGTAATCCAAGCAAAAAATGTACTTTTACCTCAATTACATGAATAACTAATTTGTGCCATGTAAAGTAATTAAGACATTAAATATAACATGGGTCACATGACTGAAAGAAGGGTCCTAATGATTTAAGGACAAGCACAGTGAAGGGAAGCATGGTTGTCCTGACCACTATTGAAGATGATTAAACACCCATGGTAAGGATACTAGAGAAACTTTCAATGTGAACCAAAAAATGAGCTTCCCATATTAAAATTTTAAAAATCAACATTCCAATTTTATATCATGCATAATCCATCATAAATCATAAAATAGACTTGGATGTAGAAAAAAATACCTGAGTTATCACTTTTCTGAATTGTCATGAACGGTTGGTCTTTTTTATTCATGTTTTCCATACCTGTCAAGAAAACAACAGACAGCTAAAATTTTACAATGTGATTTAAAAAATGTTTTTTAAAAAGTGTTCATTGTGGGGGCTGGCAGAGTGGCTCAGTTGGTTAAGAGCGCAAGTTCTGAGCAACAGGGTTGCCAGTTCGATTCACACATGGGCCAGTGAACTGTGCCTGAGCTGAGCTGCCCCTGAGCTGTCAACAGGTGGCAGGATGGCTCAGCTGTTGAGAGCACATGCTCCTAACAACAAGGTTGTCGGTTCGACTCCGGCATGGGATGGTGGGTTGCGCACACCCGCACGTAAGATTGAATCCGGCACCTTGAGCTGAGCGGCTGCAAACTGCCGACGGGCAACTGGATGGTGACTGGACTTAGAGCTGAGCTAGCTGCACCCTCCACAACTAAGATTGAAGGGCAACAACTTGGCTGTTCCTCTTCCCCAAATTCCAATAAAATCTAAAAAAAAAAGTGCTAATTGTAGTGTGGTTTTTTTTTTTAAATAAGGCCCAGGACTGGGTGCCATAACTCTTTACTTTATTAAAATTTGCTTCTCCTTGCTCCGAGAAGCTTTCCTCCATTAGTTTTTTCCCCTCTGTGTCTTTCCTGTTCTTGGTCTCGTCTTCCAATCTCTAACCTCTTAATTCCCCTCTCTTGGATTGTCTCAGTGACTCATAAATATTTTGTAATTAAAAAATTATGTATGTTTTCTCTTGAGTTCCTGGGAGGAAAAAACTACATAAAGAATAAATCAGCTAGCCAATTTTGCTCCCTAGTTCTGTTAAGCAATATTGCACTTGTAGTAGACTTGGGATATGTAATCCACTTCTAGAATGTACTTCATGCCCAGCTGTTACCTCCTTTAGGGTTGGATTCAGCTGCAGAGAGCAGCCTTGTTCAGAGTTATACCATTGCTGAGGTGGCCTACACCAAATGACTGAGCTAGGCAGGGATGCAAAGACCCAGCAGTTTGGGCCCAATCTGGGCTACTCTGATGGGCAAGACGTGCCCCACGGCTTCCTGCAGGGTTGACCCAGACTTTGTTGAAACTGACTTTTTCGTCTCTCCAATCCTGCTTCCTCCTCCTTCCTTTCACAGGTGTGGATCCCTGATAAATATCCAGCACTCCAAACTCTGCGTCAGCATCTCCTTCCTAAGAACCCAAACTGAACTGAGCCCTTCCAGGGCAATAAACTAATCCAGTCATTCCTTGAGTAATCATTTTTCATACATTTTTGTTCCATATCCACTAGGTTGAACCACCCATGACTAGTGGCCTTCGTAGTAACCTAAATCTTCTTAAATGGAAGAGCAACTAGCTCAAGCCCACGACTTTTGGAAACTTTGCCAAGTTCAGGAATCATGGCGACTGCCCACCAACTTTAGGAACGTAGGGATAAACTCCAGTGCCTAATTTCTATAGGGCCTCTGGTCCAGGAATTCTTTTGTTCAAGCCTTTAATTACATTGACAATTCTCCCTATAGTGTGGTTTCTATTCACACCCACATCCTATCCACTAAGATTCTTCTTCCTTTTGGAAGGTATTGCACATCCAACCTGTCCACCCGCACTGCCTCAAGCCACCATCACCTCCTTCCAGGATGACAGCAGCAGTTCCACTTTATACCGTTACAGTCCATTCTCCACACAGCAGCCTGGGTAACCTTAAAACTCTAGTCTGACTTTGCTTGAATCCCTTCAATGGTTTCCCATCGCCCTTTAGAACAGTATCCAAGCTTCATTACGTGAACTGGAGGCCCTTCATGAGTCTTGCCCTTGGTCATCTCTATATCCTTATCTCATTCACACACTCTGACCACACTGATCTTTCTATTTCTCAAATATACCAAGTTTGTTCTGCCTCAAGGCCTTCCCACATGCTGTCCCTTTTGCCTTAAAGAAATCTCCTTCCTCTTTTTACCTGGTTGGTTCCTACTCAGCCTTCAGCATGACCATGTCACCTCCTCAGAGAGACCTAACCAGCCTTCTCCATCTAAGTAAGGGAGGACCCCTTGTTTCTCTCTCATCCTATTTGTTAACTTTCCATGATCATTTGTATCAGTCTTCACATTTGCATGCTTACTGATTTGATGTCTGTCTCCCTCCACAGGCATGTGGCCCACATTTTTCTTATTTCTGATTGCATCCCCAAAGCCCAGCACAGAATAGTAAATGCTCAATAAATATTGAGGAAAAGGTAACTGGTGGTAGCTGGATGTCTTGTATTCCCTCAGAAAAACTGCAATAACAATCCCTAAATCCATACTATAGCCTCCCTCTCCCAACAACAGCCCTTCAATTTTTAAACATTTGCCCTGATAGCATAGCCTACAGAGAGGAATGGCAAATTTCAATGCCTTCAGGGGCCATCAGGTAAATTCAATGAGGGAAGTGACAAGGTACACTTCCATAGGGAGTGGCAGAAAATGTGGGAAATGAAAGAGCATCCCATACCTACATAATCAAATACATTTTCTTTTGTTTGTTTTGTTTGTTTGTTTTTGTTTTTTTTTAAGATTTGTATTGGGGAATTGGGGGGATGGGAACAGGGAATTGGGGAAGTGGAAAAGAAAAGTTGCTGTCGTTTTTGGTCTTCAGTCTAGTTGTGGAGGACGTTGCTTCACTGGCCCAAGTTGGCACCATCATTGTGCTCTTCCTGGCTGAGGCAGATCAGTCGCTGGCTTCTGGACAGCCACTCACTGCGGCTGCTGGCTGCTGGCTACACATGGTAGCCCATGGCAACCCACTG